GAGGAGGAGGAGGAGGAGGAAGAGGAGGAGGAAGAGGAGGAAGAGGAGGAGAAGGAGGAGGAGGAGGAGGAGATGGAAGAGGAGGAGAAGGAGGAGGAGAAGGGGACACAGAAGAAGGGAAGTAGGAAGGGAGGGGTGTGTGGTGATGTCATAATTAATTACATAAAGAATATGACAGCGCAGACAGTGGGACAAGTTTGACAAAAGCACGGTTAAACATTACACAGTATAATAGACGTATCCTGTTTATATGATTTTAATAGTAAAAGACTAAGCTCTAATCACATTATAGTTTATTTTGACATGAAAATATATAAAATAATTCAAAGAAACTAAATAGAACATTTTAGATGACATTTTCGAAAGAGAGTATGAGGAAAAACTCATTTTAAAATGCACAAAGTGGAAGGGGTGAGGTAAATCTGGGATCAAAAGGAACAGATATGCAATGGAAACAGTCTGCATGCTCCAGTTACACCGGTGTTTCTTTTTTTTCTTACAGAAATGGCCACAAGATCTTGTAAAGAAAGTGATAATGACGGAGTGTGGCAGGAACCGTATATTGACGACTGCATTTCTAAAGAACTTTTGGATCTGAAGAAACAGGTAAAAAAAAATTCTTAATTTCTTCTTTTAGCCCTTTTTATTCAAGTGCTATGACATTTGACGTTCTCTTCTGTCCTTCGAGGATATGGAGGGTTTATAACTGTTTGAGACAGTAACGGATGTAGTAGATTTTATCACTTCTATATCATCGGTGTCGTCATCATTCCACAATCACCTAAATTAATTTCGGTGAAATGGGGGGGGGGGAGAGGGATATCAGGATAAAGCCATAATTCGAATGAAGACATTAAGGGGCATCTTAATTATCTTATAGTCTCTCCCCGCTCCGTTATTTCCTTTATACTTCTAACTAAAAATGTCATTGTTTTAATTTGAGCGCTCTTTATTTTCTTTCATTTTCTCAAAACTTCAAAAAGATGAGTTTGACATCTCGCTACCGTAGAATTACAAAGTTCTGTCTGACATTTTGGGGCGTTTTGAGTTACTATGATTATGGGGTCAGAAACCAAACGTTCTATCTGCATGATCAAAATCGTAAAATAATTCGGAGTCATTATGAAGATATTCAGAGATCTGCATTCGAAAAAACTTGACAGGTTGTGAAACTCAACTTTTTCTTACGCCAAATTTTTCAGTTAGGCACTAAGCAGATAGAACTTAGTAATTCTGGGGTAGCGACAAGTGGAATACCGCTGACGATGTACTTCATATTGATTGATACCAGAAAGTAAGCTCTCTCCGATTTGAATGTTCTGTTGCCCTGACACACTCCATCCCTTTGAAATATTCTGAGTTTCCAGGGAAGTACTTAGTGCAAGCAGCCAATTAAGAAGAGCTCGGAATCCAAAATACTGATACGACCCTTCACTTTCTTAACTGGATACACATTGTTTTCACGGAAGAGACATAAGCAAGAGAGGCACAACATTGGGCCCCTACCGGAATTTGGCCTCCAATTTTTCCTTTGCGAGTCCTGCATCGTAACCACTAAATTAGACTTTTGTTGTCATAATAATAACTTTGAAAGTTTCTATTATCATTTAAGTTCTGACGACAAATAGGCCACGTAGAAGACGTAAAAAGTAAAATGCAACCTCGCTCCCATGTCCTTGCACCCCACGACAATCACATCCCTCTGTTTCCTGTTTTTGAGCGACACATGCGACCCTACTGTGACCCCAACGTGGTGATCCTGGATTTTGTGCTGTAGTCCAAACAGTTCGAAATGAGGGAAAGGGGGAGGGGTATTCTTTACTTTTACTCATGGCAACCATAATAATCACTATCATCATCTTAAATAGCATTTGAACAACGCAAATTCCCGCGCAACAACAAGCTTTAGTTCTTATCATGCACTTTACAATATTAATCCTAGTTTCTGGAGTTCAAACACGGCGCTATCAATGAGATCAACGTGCTACAGCTGGCTGACCGCCTATTGAATCACACGCAGGAGAACGTCTACCTGAACCCCATAGACATCGCCACCGTCATAGATCTCCTCGGCATGCTAGTGCAGACGCAGGTAATGCTGCCAATCCTGTTGCATCATCATCATCATCATCATCACTATCATCATTATCATCATCACTATCATCATTATCAG